TGTCCTTGTGTGTTGACACTGTGATATATTATGTTCTTGTGTGTTGACACTGTGATACACTCTGTCCTTGTGTGTTGATATTGTTGTATATTCTGTCCTTGTGTGTTGAAACTGTGATATATGCTGTCCTTGTGTGTTGACACTGTGATATATTCTGTCCTTGTGTGTTGACATTGTTGTATATTTTGTTTTTGTGTGTTGACACTGAGATATATTCTGTCCTTGTGTGTTTACAACGTGATATATTATGTTCTTGTGTGTTGACCCCGTGATATATTCTGTCCTTGTGTGTTGACACTGTGATATATTATGTCCTTGTGAGTTGACGCTGTGATATATTATGTTCTTGTGTGTTGACGCTGTGATATATCCTGTTCTTGTGTGTTGACACTGTGATATATTATGTTCTTGTGTGTTGACGCTGTGATATATCCTGTTCTTGTGTGTTGATACTGTGATATATTTTGTCCTTGTGTATTTATAATGTGCTATATTCCTTGTGTGTTGACGCTGTGATATATTATGTCCTTGTGTGTTGACACTGTGATATATCCTGTTCTTGTGTGTTGACACTGTGATATATTATGTTTTTGTGTGTTGACACTGTGATATATTATGTCCTTGTGAGTTGACGCTGTGATATATTATGTTCTTGTGTGTTGACGCTGTGATATATCCTGTTCTTGTGTGTTGATACTGTGATATATTTTGTCCTTGTGTATTTATAATGTGCTATATTCCTTGTGTGTTGACGCTGTGATATATTATGTCCTTGTGTGTTGACACTGTGATATATCCTGTTCTTGTGTGTTGACACTGTGATATATCCTGTTCTTGTGTGTTGATACTGTGATATATTTTGTCCTTGTGTATTTATAATGTGCTATATTCCTTGTGTGTTGACGCTGTGATATATTATGTCCTTGTGTGTTGACACTGTGATATATCCTGTTCTTGTGTGTTGACACTGTGATATATTCTGTCCTTATGTGTTGACACTGTGATATATTCTGTTCTTGTGTGTTGACATTGTTGTATATTATGTTCTTGTGTGTTGACGCTGTGATATATCCTGTTCTTGTGTGTTGACACTGTGATATATCCTGTTCTTGTGTGTTGACACTGTGATATATTCTGTCCTTATGTGTTGACACTGTGATATATTCTGTTCTTGTGTGTTGACGCTGTGATATATCCTGTTCTTGTGTGTTGATACTGTGATATATTTTGTCCTTGTGTATTTATAATGTGCTATATTCCTTGTGTGTTGACGCTGTGATATATTATGTCCTTGTGTGTTGACACTGTGATATATCCTGTTCTTGTGTGTTGATACTGTGATATATTTTGTCCTTGTGTATTTATAATGTGCTATATTCCTTGTGTGTTGACGCTGTGATATATTATGTCCTTGTGTGTTGACACTGTGATATATTATGTTTTTGTGTGTTGACACTGTGATATATTCCCTCCTTGTGTGTTGACATTGTGAAATATTATGTTCGTTGTGTGTTGACACTGTGATATATTATGTCCTTGTGAGTTGACGCTGTGATATATTATGTTCTTGTGTGTTGACACTGTGCTATATTCTGTCCTTGTGTGTTGACATTGTTGAATATTTTGTTTTTGTGTGTTGACACTGTGATATATTATGTTTTTGTGTGTTGACACTGTGATATATTCCCTCCTTGTGTGTTGACATTGTGAAATATTATGTTCGTTGTGTGTTGACACTGTGATATATTATGTTCTTGGGTGTTGACACTGTGATACACTCTGTCCTTGTGTGTTGATATTGATGTATATTATATCCTTGTGTGTTGAAACAGTGATATATTCTGTCCTTTTGCGTTGACACTGTGATATATTCTGTCCTTGTGTGTTGCTACTGTGATATATCCTGTTCTTGTGTGTTGATACTGTGATATATTTTGTCCTTGTGTATTTATAATGTGCTATATTCCTTGTGTGTTGACGCTGTGATATATTATGTCCTTGTGTGTTGACACTGTGATATATTCTGTCCTTGTGTGTTGATACTGTGATATATCCTGTTCTTGTGTGTTGATACTGTGATATATTTTGTCCTTGTGTATTTATAATGTGCTATATTCGGTCCTTGTGTTTTGACACTCTGGCATATTTTTCCTCGTGTGTTAACACTGTGGTATATTCTGTACTGGTGTGCTGACACTGTGTTATTCTCTGCCCTGGTTTATTGACACTTTGTTATAATCTGTCTTTGTGTGGTGACGCTGTTGTTTTTTTTCTTTTTGTTTGAAAAAGGGCATAGACGTCATCTCTCGCATATAACAAAATTGACATCTTAGAAAATTGGGATAAACAGATCCCTACACAAATAACGTCTGATTATTGATATCATCACTAGCATGCGTTTAAATCAAAATGATACAACTATTCAATATAACATCAATCCAAACCACAGTTAACCAGAGCATAGCTGAATATCAATGCGCATGTGTGAGAGAATCAGGGTTAAAAGCTACTTTAAAGGAGCGGGTGAGACCTCTTTTTCTTTGGGAATATTCCTGATGTTTGTGACGAAACAGCTGTATGGTTCAGTGTAGGTCCTCTTTGGCTTGCTGTATGTGTCATTAGATTATAAATGGGCAATCACATGAGTGTGTATTAGGTCTATCTGGAGGTAATGTCCCTGGGATTTCCTATTCCGTCTTTGCGCATTGCAGAGTTATCTTCTCTTGGGAGCAGGCATTGATTGTTACGTCACTTGTTTGTGAGAGTAACGTCATCATTTTTTGTGAAAACGACGTAATTTTCTCATACAAACCAATGACGTAACAATCAATACCTGCTCCCAAGAGAAGATAACTCTGCAATACGCAAAGACGGAATTCACGACATTTAGTCAACATCCTGTGGGAGAGAAGCTCATTTTATTACTGATCTTTTGATTATTTTTTGACTTGGTTATTTCTATTTCAACTCGTGTTTCGATAAAGCCATAGATTTAATTGCCGAATGTATGTTCAGCGTAAATATGACGGAAACGTAAAATAACAAAAGTGTGTTAATCATTTGTTTACCTTTAATGTAGTTTTCAACAATAAAATAAAGTGTCCATTCAGAAAAAAATGTCTGGAAGCAATAGAAAATGTTTACATAATTCGAAAATTTCAATCAGTCTCTATACTGTTGTGCCATTCTCTCCTCAAGTTTACCAAGGAGGTCGCGTGCTCGAGCTTTATCTTCTGAAAAAGACAAAAAAGGTATAAACGCGAGCGGATGATAAGATAGTTATTAATAAAATAGGGTGTTTGTTGATTGAACGGTTTTTTTAAAGTTGATGCCGTTATAAACGCAAATCGGTTACATACATGTACATATTCCATTTCGGGCTTACGTCCTTAAATGACCTGATTAGCTGTTGATAGGGCGTTGAATTATGAACAACCAACCAACTATATTATCGGGCTTCATGAAATATTCATGTAACAGTCTTGTGATAATGTCGGCATGAATATTAAAAAATGCCATTCAATACATCATGTACACATAAAAACATTCTAAATTTCATAACTATCATTGATCTTAATATAGATATTCCTTGATATGTTCGATATTAAAGTATCCGTGCCGTCAGTTCAAACAGGATTCCTGGAACAGCCTAACGTCACAAAAATGTTTGCTTCTTACGGTTGTCTTATGTTATTCGAGGCGGGAGGAAAAACTTCAAAGTGACACTGATCAAATTGCATCCATAGCCCTATGAACGCAATGTCTTCGTGTAATGCGTATACAACAACTTGCATTGGAAATGTAAATTTATCGTTTTGTTGTCGGGTTGGCTAATCAATTTTAAACCTTTACGTTTGCATGACTTGATATTAATCAAGAATGCTATCATTTTGTTTATGCATAATTAAATATTAAGAACAGACTTTTTTGGTTTTGATTTTAAACGCACCTTGTCTTTCCAAATCTTGCATAATCTCGTCTAAAGTGAGGCCATTTTCAAGAGCCAACTCCACGTCACCAAGAAGTTTGTCTTCTACCAGTCGCATTGCTGAAAAATATACATATTGTGCATAAGGACTCCTCAAAAGGACATTGTTGGACAACACAATTGCATGGCGTTTTAATAAAAAAAAAAGTTAATCATGACAATCTACTTATAGAGATAATAAAGAAACGTGATTTTAAAATGCAAAGCCATTCCACTTACACTGTAATCGTATTTGTTATAATTGCGTAACGTTATAATCGTTCGGCAAATATCCGGAAATGTGGATGTCGATAAGATATAGTACACTATATATATGCATCCTAATAGTTTACCCGCACTGTCGCTATACCATATTTGCTGATACATATGTACATTTGTTTGTTGGGATCAAGTTTATATATTTTACTATTCTGTCGTTATTACTTATGAGACCTATAATTATTTATGTCAGATCTATATAGAATATATGATTGAAGACGTTTCAATAAGATACGAGGCTGTCCCAGATGATACACACAACACACGTATGATAGTCCAGATATTATTGTACGGTGAAAGATAAACAATAATACTGATAATTCGAAGTTCTGATAAACCGCTTTTTCACATTCTAGTATGTAGGTCTTCTTAAAGCGAATTAGACAAATTAGACAAAATGCATTATAGTAAAACAATGACAAGCCACACTTTCGACGGTACGAGTTGCTTCCCTTTTGTCATAGCATCTAAAGTGTACATAGCTATTATTGTGCGATGACAAATTATGAAATAAATTAAATAATCAACTGGTTGAATTTTACCAGAAACCTAGATTTGTATTTTCAGCAATAAACACATACATAACTAAATACTACCCGTGATCATTATAGAAGTCCGGCTCCACTATTCTAAATATCAGAGCAGATTGTTTCCAATACAATTTGTGTTTAATATGATCCATTTCCGTCATGTTTTTTCTTTCTAATAAGTATAAGCAAACAAACCCTATACTCATTTATTTATAGTTATGTTGTTGTAATATTGTTATATTCGTTTTGAGGAGAGGGTTTTAAATGTTTAATCATGCACAGTCAAACTGTCAGTTATCAGTTTACCTTCACCACGTAAAAGTCCAAACCGTCCCTCTTTTGGCTGGCGGTAACCTTCAGAGTTTACTGGATTAAGAAACGAAATAGGATGTTTAAATTCAAATTTACATAAAGCAACATGTTCAACACAATTTTAAGTTAAATTGGATTTTTCCGTTTGCGCTTAGTCTTGACTGGCACTACATTTTTAGCACTACACCAGACAAAAAACCGATTAAATGTGTAAGATTATTTGAAGCATTCTGACAAATGTATGTGCTCTTTTCGCAAAACTGTGAATATTTCGGGCGTCACCCAATTTTGTCTATAGTAGAAAATCAACAGAAGGTATCATAACAACAGGTAGTGACATACACATTAGTGTTTCGTATTGAAACGGAGAACAATTGTCACTGACATGTGTGTGTAGTCATATTATGATTATCAAAGTACAACTCACCTTCAGAGTTATGTCCACTTGATTTGGCAGCTGTGAGTAGTTTTGCAAGTTCGATGACGTCAGAGTCCTGTGAAGAGTGGCTTCCCTTTTTATTACCAGAGTCTGGTATAGGCTCATCTCGGAATGTTCCCATGTCAACTACAACAACGAGGTATTTCAACTATAGCATAAATTATATCTTGATGTAATAAATTTCATGAACTATATGAACATCTTAGTCATGCGAGTTATTCTATTACACGAATTCAGAGCCGCTAGACACCGTATCGATTAATAAACTAAAACGCCGCGCAGGTACTGTATAGCAGGATGTTTCTGCGTTGCTAATATTTTCGCGATTTCGCGGGTTAATAACGTGATCTCGAAAGCGCGATAACAAACTTCATAACAGTTTATTCGACATGAAATAGCGCGCACGTGGTAATGACGATTTACATACATAAAGAGTTATACATATATAACACATCTACTGGTTTTGTTAATGATTCGTTTAACAAAATAAGCTTACTTCTTGTTACTCAATTTGCTGTTATAAAGCCCAATCATTTACTTATTTGATACTTTATATTCCGAGTGTCCCGTCTCTGTGCTAAAAGACCGCGAAAAAAAGTTCTTTTAAATTCTAGATCGCGAAATTATAATCTGTTTAATTTTTTCTACAGTAATTTTGGGTCGAAATCGCGAAAATGAAGCCAGTGTAAATAACCCGCTATACGGTAAAATTAAATTATCACAAAACTTCATCATTTTTACAATCATTAAACTCAAATTTAAAAAGAAAGTTGTGTATATATGTACGTCAATGATCTCATTAACTGACCTAATTATATTAAAAAGGTTGTGTATATCAACAATATTCGTGATTGACCAATATTCCAAGTCTACACAGTACGTACCATTATGTCTGCCGGTTGTGCGCTGTTCGTACTGGTGTAACTGTTGATCTTTAAGCGTCTGTAGGGCCAGCTCCAGCGCCTGTTAAAGGTAGGATTGAAATTTATTTTTGGTACTAAATATCAAGATAACATTGTGTAGAAGTACCTAATATTACAGAAATTCATTGTTTACTACTTTGGTTGGGTTTTTTTTTTTTTTTTTTTTGCTTCTTTCAAGACATTGTCTTTCATTTTATTAGAGGTCGGGCCGCGGTGGCGAAGTGGTTAAGGCGTCTGACATTCTGCTACATTTATCACTCGCGCTCCGCTACTGGGTCGCAGGTTCAAGACCTACGTGGGGCAGTCGCCAGGTAATGGACGTAGGTCGGTGGTATTTCTCCGGGAACTCCGGCTTTCCTCCACCACCAAAACCTGGCACGTCCTTAAATTACCATAACTGTTCAAACAACCCATCTTATTATGTTGTCTTTTCGCTACTCTTTTCTCTCTCTTATTGGTCTCACAACTTTTTTTTATTTACTCAAGCGGTTATTGTTAGATTGTGTGATACTGACGTAGTATTCAGAAGGTATTTGATACGGGGAAAAACATGTACCATGCTTCATACATATCAAGTAGTGAATTATAACGCCGTAGGTCAATAACGTTCGTCTTAAAATACGATAGAAACTTTAATTGTTCTTGAATTAAAACTGAAACTGACAATTCTATCCCACAACATGCATATCCATATGCTATACAACTACCAAAAACTATAGTTGTAAATTATTTGATCTTAATTTAGCAGAAGAAAAAAAAAGCGATTTTTGAACCCTATATGCGTTGCACCTATGTCAAGATTACAGCTGAGGCTGAAATTTGCCTTGAAACTTTTAAAACCATGGTACTGAAATGTGTACAGTAGGATACGGTATTGCTCTGTGCCTAGATGGGTTTATCTATTGATAGCATACCTCGAGAGTTTTTCCCTGTAAACCAGCCAGTCCTGCCGTCATTGTAGAGTCCCCCGACAGTTTCAAGCGTCTGTCTGACTTCTCGTCTCTGTCATGTGACATGTTTGCCTCTGACATCGTTTTCGATTCTGCAGATTTCTTTTCGGCTACATTTTGTTTATTATTTACTTCTGAGCTTTTCGCAATATCTGTCAACTGCAAGCATAAACATAAATGTTAAATGTTTGTGCAATTTAATTTGTATAACTAATGTAGGGGTTTTTTTTGTTTTTTTTTACTTCTAGCATTTCGTATATGCGATTAAAATAAGAAGATGATACAAATCGAACTTTTTACTACTAAATGTATAAAACAGTGCTTTTCCCTCTCCTTCTTTTTTTTTGGGGGGGGGGGGGGGGGGGGGGGCAGATGCACAATTCACTAAAGCATTATTCATAGACAGTTAAAGAAATTCAACATTAAATTAAACGTTCTTTTTTTCCATTATTTCCAAAATTTTCAAATCATCGCTTTCAAAAAATAATTTGAATTATACATTATTTGTAGTTTACATACATTACTTGTAGTTTACATTGCTAAACGTTTTGAACTCGAGGATTAACCTACCAGTGATCGTAGCTTCGACAACTGAAACAGAGAGAAAACATTCCTCAAATATAAATTACAGTAAAATGAAAAAAAATGTATTTTGTATAGTGCGTGCTGCCAAAAACTAGATAAACTCGAGTGAATGATTCATTTATCTGTTAAACAATTAACTTTCACATCGTTTGTTTTTTTGTGTTTAAATTTAAGTCATTACACTAACTTTGTTTTATTATAACCTAAACTTACCTTCGACTCGAAGTTCTGTATCTGCAAAGAAAAAAGGGATAAAAATATTTCATTTGTATACCTAATTTTTATTCTCCATATTAAAATATGCTTAATCAAATAAGCGTCCAACTCAAACAAAAACGAATTTAAGGCGTTTCTAAGTAAAAATCTTATATTGACAACATGAACACAATATTGATATCGAAATACATTATCTATGTGAAACAAAAACACCGGACCAGTACTCGGTATGTATCGTTTATCCAAGGTCTTTAAAATCTGAGCTCCTTCCTTACTTGAACCAAGAACTTGTTCGGAGTCATAGCTACAATAATGACTGTTTATTAACCTAGTGAACTAACCTTATTCGATGATGATGTTTCAGCTGCTGCTGCTGCAAAAACAGGAAAGTTCAATTAGAAGTAAATCATATCCAGTAACAAGCACAAGTTTACATCATGCATGTTGTTTTTAAGGATGTGTCGTCCAATTCAATTCAATTAGTTTATTCTGTAAGCCTTACGACTTATAAGATACAAGACACAATATTAATACATATTAGCAGGTTTAACAGTGTAATGGTATACAGGATTGATAATTGTATGTAATCGTATCATACACACACACACACACACACACACACAAGAATGTGATAATACAATAATGACTGAGAGCGCTTCTTAAAAGCAAATCTTTTATATTTACCAAGATTACACAAATCTTTTACATTATTAACACTGAGCAATTGAACAAGTTTATATACACTGGAACGACTAAAATAATATGGCTTTAGGTATCTCACCCGTAAATCTGCATAAATAGGAGGACACTTAAGGTGGCTCCACACATCGTTATCAGCGTCCATTTTCGTGACGTACTTCCGGAAAAAGTACAGCTCGGACTCAATTATCTTGATCGAAATTATTGTATCTTCCACTTTCCTTTCAATATTGAGCTTATGAGAGCTTAAGCGAATACATGAAATACTGTGCTTATACAACTGATCAATAGGTTTGTTTTCCAGGTAGTATTGCAGACCAAAATGATCTACAAAATGCTAATGCAATGTTCTTTTTGGGGAATTCTGTATTTTAGACAAAGTTTCTTGTACATGTATATCATAAAATTTGTGCTCTATTAACTTATACACAATCATCCCTGACAAACCCAAAAAGGATAGAATACATGTGTGTAGTTTACCTCTGTTACTCAAATTTTGATTAAAAGAGAGAAATGTAACTCCCTGCCACTTTACTGTTGAAATTCAAATTATTATGTTTCAGGTTAAATGAATAGTTGCGCTAATAAATGGACATACATGGACTCAACATCTTCGCCACTTTGACCGCTTCTTGTCTTCTCAACCCCCAACCCCCGCCCCC